CTCGGCTCGGGCTGTGCACTGGCACCCCCTGCGCATGCGCGGGGCTGCCGCCAGCGCCCCTCGTGGAAAAATAGAAAGCACCAAGCAGTTTGATGTGGGGGTACTCCCCCAGTCCTTCCTAGTCCGACCCTCCTTGGACTCTTGTGGAGCGCCGCCGCCGCCGCCGCCTCATCTTCGTCCTCGTCCTCCCTCCTCCTCCTCCTACCTCCGCCTCCTCCTCCTCCTCCTCCTCCTCCTCCTCCTCCTCCTCCTCCTCCTCCTCCTCCTCCTCCTCCTCTCCTCCTCCTCCTCCTCCTCCTCCTCCCTCCCCCCTCCTCCTCCTCCTCCACCTCCTCCTCCTCCGCCTCCTCCCCCCTCCGCGCTCGGGGCGGGCCGCGTGCCCGGCCAGGCGCGGCGCGCCCCCCGCGAGAGCCGGGCCAGGCCGGCCCCCGGGGCCCGCGGCCGCCCGCGCAGCCCGCGGCCGCTGCCCCGCGGGCCTGCGGGGCGAGGGCCTCCCCGCGGCCGCGGGGCCCAGGCACGGCCCGCGCCCGGCCTGCGGGCGGCGCGCCGCGCCCCGGGGCGCCCCCGGGGAGGCCGTGGCGCCATCCGCGACGCGGCCCTCTCGGGGGCGGCGACGCCGTATACGAGGGGCGGCCTGCCGGCCGGCGCAGGAGCTGGACGCTTCGGTCCAGGGGAGGACTCGTTTGACTTTTGAGCCGGCTATGATGCCCGCTCGTGCCCCGGAGCGCGGCCAGCTCCCTCGCCTCTCGCGCTGCGCCCGCCGCTGCCGCCGGGCCCGCACCGCCGAGGAGCCCCTCGACCAGCGCAGCCAGGGACTGCCCCCTCTTGGCGCGCGCTGCCCTGCGCCACTCTGCCGCCCCCCGGGCCCTGCCCGACGAGGTGGGCCGTCGTCTCCAGGCCTGCGCCCCAGACGCGCGACGCCCTGATTTTCTCCACGCGGGGCCCCTGGCTGTCCCGACCCGCGCCCCAGGACCGGCTTCTCATCCTGCGCCGTGCTTTGACGGTCCTGGGGCCCGGTTATATGAGGGCCCCCTGGAGCCCGACGTACGACGAGGAATAGCCTCCCGCCGCATACGTTAACCCAGGACGCGAGCATGCCTGGGGCGGCTCGGGCGGCAGACGGGCAGCTGGCCCACGCGGTCCGCCCCGAGCGCCCCTTGTTGGAGGGCCCGCCGGGCCCACATGCGCGGAGATGTATCGGCGGGCGGTCACACGCGCGTGCGGCCGCCAGGAGGAGGGGCAGCCCGGCAGCCCCCCCCCCAGCGCCAACAAGGGCCGCGCGCGCGGGGCAGGCGGTCCCGCTCTGGCGCCCCAGACATACGCGGCGTCTTGCGTTTGTTCAATGCGCGGTCCCCGGAAGCCCCGGGCGCGTCGTGAACAGAATCGGGACGGGAGGTCTTTCGCTACCTTCGGCCTCGGGAGACCCTCGCTGGGCCCATGGGCCGTCAACAAAACGACTCAGGATGAGAAACCGGTCCCCGGGAAAGGGTCGGGACTTCTGGGCGGGACCTTAATTGGGGAGTGGAGAAAAGGGCCCCAAAGGAGCCCTGTAGGCTTGGTTCGCCTAAATCTGCCCAGGGCGTCTTTTTAGCGTTGTCAGCTCGGCGTCTTGGTAATAATGTTGTTTTTGTTTTGCGCTTTCGGGTGTCGACAAAAACTAAAAGCGCTAAATATATGATGCGTTGTTTTAGCGTTTTCATACATGGTTTGGCGCTTTCAGTCTGACAGCGCAAAAGAAAAGGGAGGCCAGCAACAACAGCAACAACGAAATCAACAACAACAACAACAACAACAACAACAACAACAACAACAACAACAACAACAACAACAACAACAACAACAACACCAACAACAACAACAGCAACAGCAACAGCAACAGCAACAGCAACAGCAACAGCAACAGCAACAGCAACAGCAACAACAACAACAACAAACACAACACAACAACCACATCAACAACATTAGCAACAACAACACCAGCAACAACAGCAGCAGCAGCAACAGCAACAGCAACAGCAACAGCAGCAACAACAACAATAACAGTAACAGTAACAACAACAACAACAACAACAACAACAACAACAACAACAGCAGCAGCAACAGCAACAGCAACAACGACAGCAACAACAACAACAACAACAACAACAATAACAATAACAACAATTAACACGCTCTCCAAACGACCCCCAAAACGCCCAACATGTAGCGTTGTTTCAAACCGTTTTCATTCAGCCTGTCAAAAGCCCAGAGTAGAAAACGTGCAAATGAACGCCCATGGCGCTTTTGAGGCGAACCGAACCTTTAGGGCCCCTTTGGGGGCCAGCCGGGGCCCTTTTCTCTCCCCCCCGTTGAGGTCACCCCCCGTTACCTCCTGCCGGGAAGTCCCGACCCTTGCCCGGGGACCGGTTTCTCAGCCTGAGTCGTCCTCGTCCTCCTCCTCGTCCTCCTCCTCCTCGTCCTCCTCCTCCTCCTCCACCTCGCCCTCGTCCTCGTCCTCGTCCTCGTCCTCCTCCTCGTCCTCCTCCTCCTCCTCCCCCTCCTCCTCCTCCTCCTCCTCCTTCTCCTCCTCCTCCTCCTCCTCCTCCTCCTCCTCCTCCTCCTCTCATCCTCCTCCTCCTGCCAGCCGCCTCCCCCTGCCCTCGGTGCCCCGCGGTAGTGAGGGGCTCGTGAGGGTCGATCCAGAGGCCGAAGGTAGCGAAAGGCCTCCCGTCCCGATTTTGCGCACGACGCGATCATGTCTGGGGCTGCACCAGTTCGGCTCAGCGCTCGCTGGCGGCGAGCGCCTGGCGGGCACGTGCCGGGTGGAACACGGCCCACCGCTTCCGCCTGGCCGTCCGCGGGGCAGGGGCCGCCACTCGCGGCCGCCGAATGCCGTGGTCCCGGGTGGCTGCGTCCATGGCCGCTGTCTACGAGTCCCCGGTTGGCGCTGCCACGCCCATGACCGTCGCGACCGTCGCGCCCTCCTCCTCCTCCGCCTCCTCCTCCTCCTCCTCCTCCTTCTCCTCCTCCTCCTCCTCCCCTTCGTCATCCCTCCTCCTCCTCCTCCTCCTCCTCCTCCTCCTCCTCCTCCTCCTCCTCCCCTTCGTCATCCCTCCTCCTCCTCCTCCTCCCCATCAGGAAGCGGCCCTGCCCTCCTGGCGATTCGAGCCCCGTGGCTCCCCCGGCGTGGGGCCGCGGCGATGGCCGAGACGTGCGCGCGCGCACGATGTCCGGGGAAGCCGAGAGGAGGACTCACTTTTGGAGCTTCGGACGTCCGTTTCCCGTGCATGTGTCGATTTCGTGCGTGTTTTTTTTCGTCATCGCAAGATGATCCAGGATGCTCCTCGATGGTCCTCGCCTAGAAAAGCTGCACACGTCCGAGCGATGGCAAGCGGAGAAGGGGGAGAGAGAGCGCTGCCGAGACTCTCCACTGGAACCGAGGTCAACCACATCGCGGCTCACGAGGTCGCCAGGCAAACTGGGACCGCCACACGAGCCGACCCTCAACAGAGGAGCACCAGGTGAGTGACCGAGGGGTTCTCCGCCGGTCACGGCGAGCTGCCCCGGCCGGGATCCGACGAGCGGCCCCAAACAAGCGAGCCCCTCCTGGACCCAAGGTCGAAGTACAGGCGGAGCAGGGCCACGCGAACGTGGGTCAAGAACACGAGGCCCTTCGGCCCGAAAGGCCCCACAGAGCTGCCGCATGACGAGGATCATTCCGAGGCCAAGAGACCAAACACGAACCAAACACGAAGACCATGGGGGATGCTTACCCCTCCAAGGCTCGGGCTTTTCTTGAACCTTGTGCCAACTGTATATGAGGGTGGTGGGGAGAATCGAACGAATGAACGAGCGCCGGAGTCGCGCGCGCGCACGCCCTGAATGGAGCCCGCGCGGGCCTGTTAGGGCATGGCGTGGAAGCCGTAGCCTCGACTCAGTGAATGCCGTTTGCGTGAATTCCCCCCGCCTGGCTGTGGACACTGTTCGGGTCGTTCCCCAAATGACGATGGCATCATTGGAGGAGCGTGCGGGGGAGAATGGTGAGGAGTGGAGGCGAAGGAGGCATGATTGCCTTCCTACACGCGGCGGGCGCACTCGACAGCACAATCGGGGCCGCCAAGACAAAAGGGCAGACAAGGAGCGCGCTGAGCTCGACGGTGGTGGCGCAAACGGCACTTGCGATGCGCAGGGGTTAACTAATGCAGACCTCTGGCCTCGCATCAGGGGCGCGATGCAGGGCCGTGGAAGAACGCTGTCGTGAATTCGCCTCCGTCCAACAGTGACCCTGGGAACACCGATCTCCCCCCGACCGAGCGCATGTTGGCCACTGGCAGTGGCTTTGCGGACGAGCTGGCGGCTGCAGCTGCCAAAACCCCATGGTCCATGGCAGCCCCGCCTATGGGACACCACCGCGCTCCCGACGCGCCGTCGGACCGCCCAGGCGCTGCAGGGCTCCCTCCAGGCGGCCCCCGTGCACCGCGGAGAGGCCCAAGACGAGCCGACCTGGCTCCACAGTGAGTTACCAAACGGCCCCATGCAGGAGCTCGCGCTGCGCGAGCCGTGTGGGCAAGGAGCGGGTCTGCGCGCTAGAGTGGAGGCCAGTCCACGAGAAACCTCCCACAAGAAACTCAACCCTCAGACCCCAGGGCGTCCGTTATCTTCTGGTGCGGGAGCGTCGCGCTATCCGTAGCAAAGCGATCGAAACCCAGGAAACCCAGGGCACCCTGGAGGAAAGCAGGGTGCTTCTTGGCATGGGCCTCCACTGTATGCGACCCCGTGTCCCCGGCCTCAAGGGTCTCTGAGGCTCGCGACGGAGCCTGCCAGGCTGAGCAACACCTGTGCACCCCACGCTGCAGGCGAGGGGGCTGTTCGGGCCGGCGGGGCGGTGACGGCAGGAGGCCACTCGCTCCATGCTTGGCTTCTGCACCGCCCTTGGGAAGGCAGCGGCCGCTGGACCCCGGGACCTCGCACGCATCAGGCCTGTCCTTTTTCCCAGGCCGCACGGCCCCATCGGCCCCCGTTCAGGCGGTGGGCTCCAGCACGGTTCGGGGCGACCGCACCTGGTGCCTCATGGTTCCTGGGGCCCTGTGCGGATGTACCGTCACCGTGCTGCCGTAAGCGGCCCTGAGCAAGGAGCGAAGGGCTCTTCCTGGCCACGGCGAGCCTCGACGGACCTAGACCTGAGGAGCGGCCCCCGGAAGCCCGAGCTTCCTTCCTTCATTTCAGCGTCTTGCCTGCAACCCCCTTTTGGCCGCCTGGACTGCGCCGGCCAGGTAGCAGGAAGCTGGGACACACACACACACACACACACACACGCTTGGACTCACACGTGGAGCAGCCGGAGGCCACGCGCCACATGCGGGAGCCGGCCTGCACGACCACACAAAAGCCGAGCGCTGCAACGACACGCGGTCATGTGTGTGTGTGTGTGTGTGTGCATCCAGCTCTCGCCCAGGCTGCCCGCGTCACGTGTATCCACCCCTCCTCCTCCTCCTCCTCCTCCTCCTCCTCCTCCTCCTCCTCCTCCTCCTCCTCCTCCTCCTCCATCTCTTCCTCCCTCTCCTCCTCCCCCTCCTCCTCCTCCGCCTCCTCCTCCTCCTTCCTGGCGATTCCTGGGTAGAGCCCTGTGCTGGCAACAGAGAGCCGCGCACTATGCAACCGACGGGGCCCACGCCGGTCGACCGTCCCTGCTCCGGCGGCGGCGGCCGCGGAGGCAGCGCCCTTCGGCGCAGTGCTGCCTCCAAGAGCGCCATCGAAACAAAAAGAAGACTTGTTGCGTCGGCGGCCAGGCAGGGGTCGCCTAACTAAACGGGGGCGCCGTGGTGGCGTGGCAGGCAGAAGAAGACAAGCGTCACTCGGCGGCGCGCCCCGGGGGGGAGGCACAGGGGGCGGGCCTGCTCGGAAGGCTCGGAAGGCCTCTGGCCTTCGGAGGAGCTTCTGGAGCCCGCCCCGAAGCCGCAGGGGGCTCGGCAGGCTGGAGGCCTTCTGGGAAGCCCCGCCGCCTTCGGAGAAGGCCTGCGCCCTTTCTAGACTCTAGAAGAAAAAGAAGAAGAGGAATGAGAAGAAGAAGAAACAAAAGAAGAAAGGCCATAACCATAAACTCACGGCGCTCCGCGCGGATGCCTTAGATCCGCGCTGGACCCCCTCTCCCTGGCGCGAGGAGCGCGCCATCCACAAAAGTAGGGCGGAAACAGCAGCAGAAAAGTGGGGCGGAAATTGGCATCAACGGGGCTTGAAAAGTAAGACGGACATTCCAGGCCCTACTTACGAAAGTGCCCAAAGTAGGGCGGATCCAGAGTCAGGGGGGGGGGAGAGCAAGATCAGCTGCTTGCTTTGCCTTATGCTGTCCTCTATCGTACGTAAGAGCCACGTCGCGGAAATGACTTCGAGCACCCAGAAAAGCATCGAAACCGTGTCAGACGACTATCGCCTCCCAGGGCCCGACACGTGAAAACCCTCCACTTTCGGTACATTCTTGGTGCTCGAAATTCCTTGTGGTGACCAAGGCTAAAGTAGGTTGGAACATCATGAGCTTTGCCCCTGTTCTGCCCCTGCTCCGCTGCAGCATTGCAAGATCGGCGGCTTGCAACCCTGGCCCGAGCCAGAAGTCTAAAAAAAGCGCCGGCCACAGGGGGAGGACGGGAACAGGAACAGACTCCGAGAGCCTCTTGTTGGAGTCGGCTGGCAGAGAGACCAAGGCTCGGAGGAGAAGCCCTCGAAAGGGGGGCTCAAGCTCGGGGCGGGGTTGGCTCTCGGGGCTGCGCCAGAAGCTGGCGCCCCCTGCCCAACGGGCGGGACGGGGGAGAGGGAGAAGGGAGTTATGAGGCAGCTCCTGGGAGGTCTTTGCTAGAACGAGAGAGGGCGATCAGGCCCGACTAGGTGGCCATTGAACTGGACGAGGCCCGATTCAGCCCAGGATTCAGCTGGAACAAACCAGGTGAAGCGGGAGTTAACTGGATCAAGAGGGATTAAGCCGCAACAAACAGGATTACACTGGATTCGGCCAGCACTCGATCAGGAAGACACCAGCGCCGATTCTAAAGTTAACCTCCCAGGGACTGAAGTCTAGAGGGAGGCAGGGGGAAGGGCTGGAATCACGTGCTGGGCGACTTGGCATAGTGGCCCCCAACAACAGTCCTCGCGCATAAATCATGGTTGGTGCGCGCGCTCACACATAGGTGATTAGCGAGTGGCCGTGGTGAACGACCCTGGGAGACTTGCTTATAGAGACTGCCCTAAAAGGTTCAAACCGAATCGGCATTCAAGTTGCGCATTGAGTCTCAATATGAAATATTCGTCTCTATAATATGATATGAAATGCCATTGCTTCCAAGATATGAATCCACGAGATGACAATCGGCAGAAAAGGAGTGGTTGCAACGCAACACGTTGGAGCACGATTGCTATTCCTATAACTTGTCGAGTTTGCGTGAAGGTCGTAACCACCTACTTTGTCTAACACTGGGTCGTCTTTGGAGCTTGTGAACGAGAACAGTCCAGTCGCAGCTGCATTCGTCGCAACCACCATGTACGGCCGTTTATGGTCGCCAGAGGATGTCGCAACATTCCCTGAATCTTCGCAGTCCAGTTTGTTCACTCGAGGCCGTCCAGCGGAATGAGTTCGCCCGATGCTGAGAGAAAAGAACCTTCAATGTCGCCTCCATCTTCTGGGCTCGCCGTTGGAGTTATGCTCCTGCGGCTGCACGAGCTTGTCGCCAGCGCTGTGCTCAGATTCGCTGAAGCCTCGGACTCGAATCATCCCAAACAGGGTTTACATGATTCAACCGTCCATACATCGAAAACGCATCTTCACGCAGCATCGCAGCCGAACAGCATTGAACAGCAGGGCGTGAACGCGGCCAGGTGCTACAGCATGCAGGCTACACTGGACTGCCTCCACTCTTGAGCCCGAGTCGCTACAGCCGGACCTAGGGCAGAAGAGCACCCTTCAAGGACATGAGACCCTCCGAATGGCCAAAACACACACACAGAACATCCAAGGGCACGCCCCCCCCCCAGCATGCACAAGAGCATCCCGCAAACACGCCGAGCATCAGGGTACCCTTCCCGAACCGGCCTCGATCTTATACCTCGGCCCGAACGTACGGATGGGGGGGACGAGGAGGATGATGAGGAGGAGGACGACGACGACGAGGAGGTGGGCCGATGACGTCGACGACGAGGAGGGCCGACGAGGAGGAAGACGACGACGAGGACGACGAGGAGGAAGACGACGACGAGGGCCGACGAGGAGGAAGACGACGGGGTGGGCCGACGAGGAGGAAGACGACGACGAGGACGCCCGCCGACCAAGGCGGCGCGTGAGAGGGTGAGCCGTCGCCGATCACAGACCCCACGGCGGGGAGGAGCGGAGCGAGGAGGAGCGAGGAGGAGCAAGGAGGATGATGAGGAGGAGGAGGGAGGAGGAGGAGGAGGAGGAGGAGGAGGAGGGGGAGGAGGAGGAGGAGGGGAGGAGGAGGAGGACGAGGAGGAGGAGCAGGCGCGGCCCCGACCTCGGCGTTCGTGCCGCGCTCGTCCCCGGTGTGCCTGGCGACCACGTGGCCGTCGAAGATGACCTCCCACACGGCCTGTGCGTGCAGCGGGTGGCGCCGGGCTTCCCAGTCCGCCTCCTGCTCCTCCTCCTGCTCCTCCTCCTCCTCTCCTCCTGCTCCTCCCTCTCCTCCTCCGCCTCCTCCTCCTCCTCCTCCGCCTCCTGCACCTCCTGCTCGACCTCCTGCTCCTCCTCCTGCTCCTTCTCCTGCTCCTCGTTCCTCGTCCTCCTCCTCCTCCTCCTCCCTCCTCCCTCCTCCTCTCCTCCTCTCCTCCTCTCCCCTCTCCTCCTCTCCTCCCTCCTCTCCTCCTCCCCTCCTCCTCCTCCTCCTCCTCCTCCTCCTCCTCCTCCTCCTCCTCCTCCTCCTCCTCCTCGTCCTCCTCCTTGTTGTCATCGCCGTCATCGTCGTTGTTCTCCTTCTTCTGTTTCTGCTCGTCCTCGTTCACCTTTCTCCTATTCGTCCTCCTCTCCCCTCGTCCATCTCCGCCTCCTCCTCCTCCTCCTCCCCTCCTTCTCTCCCTCCTTCTGCTGTTGTTATTTCTGCTCCTCCTCCCTCCTCCTCCTCCTCCTCCTTCTCCGCTCCTCCTCCTCCTCCCTGCTCCTCCTCCTCCTCCTCGTCCTCCTCCACCCCTCGTCCTCCTCCTCCTCTCGTCCTCCCCTCCTTCCTTCCTCCTCCTCCTCCGCTCCTCCTCCTCCTCCTCCTCCTCCTCCTCATCCTCCTCCTCCTCCTCCTCCTCCTCCTCCTCCTACTCCTCCTCCTCCTCCTCCTCCTCCTCCTCCTCCTCCTCCCCCCCTCCTCCTCCTCCTCCTCATCCTCCTCCCCCTCGTCCTCCTCCTCCTCCTCCTCCTCCCTCCTCCTCCTCTCCTTCTCCTCCTCCTTCTCCTCCTCTCTCCTCCTCCTCCTCCTCCTCCTCATTCTCCTTCATTCTCTCCTCCTCCTCCTCCTCCTCCTCCTCCTCCTCCTCATTGTCCTCCTCCTCCTCCTCCAAGCCCCCCCGCTCGACTTTTTCTCGTTCTCCTTCCCTTCATCCCCCCTTTCCTGCAGGGCGCCTCCTGCTGTTGTTCCTGCTCCTGTCCCCTCTTCGAGTATTTTTTCAAGGGGGCGAGACTTGCCATCGCTCGGACGTCCGTTTTCAGTGCATGTGTCGGTTTCGTTTTTTTCTGCTTTCGCAAGATTAATCCAGGATGCTCCTCGATGGTCCTGGCCGAGACAAAGTGCACACGTCCGAGCGATAGCAAGGGGGTGGGGGTGGAAGGAGGTGGCGCTGACCACGTCACGGTTGGGGTTGCGCCGCGAGCGCAGTAGTAATTATGTCTGCGGGCAAACACGATGCCCGTGAACATCACGAGACCCTGCGATGCCATCGCCGCGACGTGCCTGACAGCGCTTCGCCGCAACAGCTTGAGAGCCACGCAGAGCCTGCGAGCACCGCAGGGTGCCCGTGATCACCACGGTGGCCTGCAAGCGCCGCCGCGTGCCTGTGCGAGCACCACGCGACCAATACGCCACAATGCCTGGGTGCACCACAAGCCCTCTGTGCACCTCCAGGGTCCCGACGGGGCTAACCTACAGGAAACCGGAAACCGTGGGGGGCCGAAAGCATAGAGCTCAATGTGCAGTGCCCTTATGAATGAATCATCTGCTTTTCTGGCCCTTGGCACGGTGCCCCCCTGTGCTTTGGGCTCGCACTGCCTCTGTTTACCACGGCGACTGTGGACGCCACAGCGACCGAAATGGGAATCCCAGCGCTGCTGGTGTACACCACCACGCCCGTGCAAATCACAGCTGCTGCTGCACTACCAGCTGTGCGCGCCTCAGCCCCTGTGTGCACCACAGTGCCTGTGTACACCATGCGGCGCGCGTGCACCGGCATGCCCCCGGACACACAACAGGGCATATGCATGCTTGCGAAGACCACCCTAGCCTGCGAGCGCCGCAGCATGCCTCTGAACACCGCTGCATCCCCGCGAGCACCGCAAGCGCGCGAGCATCTGCTTAGCCTGCCAGTGCTTAGATCTCACTGCACACACCACACTTCGCCTGTGAACGCCACAGGAGCCTGCGAGCGCCACATCGTGCCCGTGAGCACCGCAGTACGGCCAGCGTGGAGTGACCTGCGGAGGCGGGGAAAAAGGCGCTGGATCCGATCAAACCGATCACAAACGCTATCGCACAGCAGAACGCCAACAAAAAAAACGTCCCAGTTTCGGCTTCTTCGCGGCCCTCTCGGGCCTCCTTTCTGGGGCCTCTGGGGCGGGCATGGCTCACGGCGGTGGCGGCGACCTTGGGGAACCCCTTTCATGTCATTTGGTCTTTCTACAAGCACGATAAGGTCGCCCCGCGGCTAGGGAAAGCAGAGGAAAGCAGCAGGGGAGGGGAGAACACGAGGAGCAGCAGCAGCAGTGCCAGCGAGCCCAGCCCCTTTCGTGCCACGGGCTGGTCCTCCTGCTCGTCCCGAGCGGTGCCCGAGGCAGTGCGACCGCGGCGCGACCAGCCCGAGCCGCGGGCGCAGCCCTGCGAACGAACCGCGGGGGTACGAACGAGAGCTCTGTGAAGAGGAAGCCGGTTGCACGCGATTGGCTACCACGTATACGTGGACTCGACCACCGCGATAGTATGATGACGCAGGAACAACGATAGCACAAGGCATCGGAAGCAGACGAGGAACACCAAGAGCCACAATGATCCCCGCGCGGCCCAGATCCCACCAGCCCTCTGGGCGCAGGTGGTTCAACGAGTTCTGACGTCTCTCCCCCTGCCTCCCCTGCTCGGGGTAGGGATTTACGCGGCTACGCGGCTGAGGCATGCGGCACATGTGGCGCCCGTGGACCACGCGGCGCATCTGGCGCGCCAGGCGTGCCTGGCACGCCTGGGCCAAAGGGATACCCGGCGCACCTGGCGAGCGAGGCGTGCCTGGAACGCGTGGCGCACCTCGCTCCAGCGTTGCGCACATGGGGTCTGTGTTGGTTTCCCTTCGCTGTCCATCCAGAGACGGCCGCTGAACATGTTGCGACAGGAGTGCTACTTATGTGTTGGGAGGGCGGGTGGGAGTGAGTGAGACGGCTTGCGGGCGGGCAGGGTGTTTTGACCCCTCCCCCTGCCGCCTCCCCGGGGCCCGGGAGGGGCGGGGGCCGGGTAGTTAGAGTTTCAAGATAGACCCAGCATGGTTCCAATATGGCCCTCGGCAGCCCAAGACGGCCTCCAAGATAGCTCAAGATAGCCAAAGATTGTTCAATATAGCCTCCTACATACCTCCAAGAGGCTCCAAGGCAGCCCCAAGAAGATTGCAAGTGCCCTTCGAGGAGGAAGAAGGAAGGAGGAGGAATGAGTTTTGCACTCGGCCACGCCAACACACTCACGCCATGGCCCGTCGTCAGCGGCTGCACACTGAGACAGGCGAAAACACAGACACATGCACAGACAGGACGCCCGTTGGGCAATGCTGCTGGCATGCCACACAGAGCAGCGGTTCGACGGTGGAGGAAGGAGAAAGGAGGAAGGAAGGAGGAGGAGGGAGGAAGGAGGAAGGAGAAGGAGGAAAGAGGAAGAGGGAGGAAGGAGGAGGAAGGAGGAAGGAGGATGGAGGAAGGAGGCGCGCGCGGTGGACGGCCACCAGGGCAGCGTGGCGAGGCCCAGGCCGCCGCGCGTCGCAGGAAGGGAAGCGCCGGAAGGCACGTGAGCGACGGGGGGAAATGGGGCCTTGCGCGAGATGACACACAGCTGGACCTACAACACACACACACACACACACACGCACACAAACACGCACGCACACACATACACACACACATACACATACAATCACAATCGCACACACACACACGCACAGGCAAGCGCACTCCTTGTTTCTAATCCTGGTCATTTCCAATTCCGGCCACGAATTAGAAACGAGAGGTGCCGACTGGATGGAGTCGGCAGCGTTGTGCCCACGAATTAGAAATGAGCGCTCTGTAGGACGGAAGAGCCCCCTGCAGCAACATGAGACCCTCCGCCGGTCAAACTGAAGAACATTCGAGGGCACCCTCTCCCAGGATCCAGCATCCAGCAAGCACGAAGAACATCAGGGCACCCTCCCCGAACCGACATCGATCTTGTACCTCGGCCCGACCGTGGCGACCTTGCGCAGTGGCTCACGCGGGCCGCCAGCACGGCACGCTGCACTGGAAACGAGGGCGCGCACGCGCGACCGTGCGCGGGGCAACTTACGCGCGAAGGTGGGCGCAATCGACCCCGTTGCTCTGCGTCGCTCATCTGACAATCTTCGGCCTCCGGGGGCTCTTGCCGGGGCCCCGAGAGCGCCGAGAACTGGCTCAGGATGAGAAGCTGATCCCGGGGAAGTGGTCGGAGTCCAGACCTCCTGGGGCACACGTTGCGGGGGGGGGCAAAAAGATACGACGTCGGGGGTCTGAAGATTTGGAGGGAGGTCGCAGAGCTGACGTGCTGGTGTCCGTGACGGGCACTGGCAGTGCTCCTGCCCACGGACGACACAGCAGGGAGCGCCAGAAAGCCACGATGGAAAGAAAACGAAAATCAGTAAGCTGCCCAGAGCGCGACGACGACTCGCCGAAGATGCGCCTCGGGTCGCAGAGGTGCTGCGACAGAAGCGCGCGGCACAAAGCCAGCGGCCTGCCGCGGCACAGCCGGGGCCCGCCCGCCCCACGGCCCCTGGGCCACGGGCTCCGCGCACCCGCCCCCTGGGCCTCCGGCCAAATTGGCGGGCCCTCCGACAGGGTTCGCCGAAGGTGAGCCGGGGTTGGGCGTGAACTTTTGGGGGGCGAATGCATCGGGGGGGAGAAGCGCCCCTTTTTGAGGCCCTGAAGGCCCTCCTTGTGGGCCCCCAAGGACCCCCTTAGGGGCCCTTAAGGGCCCCTCTTCTGCAGCCCTCCGCGCCTCCCCCCCCCCCCCCTTCATCGCCCCCCCATTACGCGACGCCCACCCTTGGGGTCGCAGAGGTGCGCTGCCGGTGCGCTTCGGCAAGAGCACGGCGCAGAGGCCGCGACCTGCCGCTCGGTCCGGCAGGCCCCAGCCAGGGGGGAGGAGAAGAGGAGGAGGAAGATAGGAGGAGGAGGAGGAGGAGGAGGAGGAGGAGGAGGAGGATAGTAGGAGGAGGATCGTAGGATGATGATGATGATGATGATGATGATGATGATGATGATGATGATGATGATAATGAGGATGATGATGATGATGATGAGGAGGAGGAGGAGGATAGTAGTAATAGTAGTAGCAGTAGTAGTAGTAGCAGCAGCA